AGTCACTTTATGTGAGATGGGCGGCTATATAAATATGACAAATAATAAATAAATAAAATTTATTGATATTGCCTAGTAGAGAAAGAAAACTATGGGCTAAGTGGCAGGGTCCCTACATAGTAAGGAGAAAAACTGGGCCAGTGAATTATGAATTGGAAGAAGGAAAAAAGGAAATCTATCATGCTAACCTCTTTAAAAAATGGCATGGTAGAACTGAACTTGGGATAGCTTTACTTGTGCTAAAAGAAAGAAAACCAGAATTGTTGGACCAAGCTTGGGATGTGATACTGCAACTATCACATGGAAAAGTGCATATTAATTTTGACATCTGAAAGACATAAGAAAGACTTGGAAAAGACATTACAGGACTTTAAAGAGATGTTCACCATGCAACCAAGATTAACAGATCTAGTGGAACATAGGATAGAAAGAGGAGTAACTCGGCCCATTCAACAGCACCACTACAGGATTCTAGAACATCTAAAAGGAGTGTTACAAAGTTAAATAAACAAGATGCTCCAAATGGACATTATAGAATTGTCTGTAAGTGACTGGTGTTCCCCAATTGTATTAGTGCCAAAACCAAATGGAGGAATATGATTTTGTGTAGACTTCTGACAAATAAACCAAGTGGCAAAATTTGATGGCTATCCAATGCCCCAAGTTGATGACCTCTTGGATGACTTAGGTGGAGCCAAGTATTTATTGTCCTCGGACCTAACCAAAGGATATTGGCAAATTCCACTGGAACCCTATTCAAACAGCATTTACTATCCCACAGGGTCTCTTCCAGTCCAAGAATGCCTTTTGGACTACATGGGACACAGCTACCTTCTAGCATCTTATGAATAAGATCTTAGCTGGTCAAAGGCAATGGTGTACTATGTATCTAGACAATACCCTCATCTATAGCTAAATCTGGGAAGAATACCTCCAACACTTGAAGTTAGCAACAACAGCCTCAGAACAGCTGGTCTATCAATCCTGAGAAGTGCCATCTGGGAGATAAAGAAACCCAATACTTAGGGTTCCTGGTTGGAAAGGGGGAGTTAAAAACTGAACAAGGGAAGGTTGAAACCCTTAGACAAGTAGACACCCCCAAAACAAAGAATCTTTCTTAGGACTAGCACCAAAGATTTATTCCTCATTTTTCTACTTTGGGTCAACTCCTCACAGACTTAACAAGGAAAGCAGAACCCACAAAAGTGAAGTGGATTAAAAAATGCCAAAAAGCATTTGATAAAATCAAAAATACACTTTGTGGCAAACCTGTATTAAAAAGATCAAATTTTACCCAACCCTTGTCCTACAAATAGATTCCTGTAATGTAGACTTAGGAGTAGTGCTCATCCAAAACCATGAAGGGATGGACCACCCTGTGACCTATCTCTCAAAAAAATTCCTCCCAAGAGAACAGAGATACAGTACAATTGAAAAAGAGGCCTGCATGCTAAAATGGGCAACTGATGTTCTGCAGATATATCTATGGAGTCGGTAATTCTCTGGGATAACCGACCATCAACCACTCACTTGGCTGCAATAAATGAAGGATACCAATTCATGTCTGACCAGATAGTATCTGACACTACAACCATACTGTTTTAATATTGTATATAGAGCTGGGCAACAAAACTCCATTGCTGACTTCTTATCACAATATGGTAAAGACAATGAGATTGCACTAACATCATGAAAAAAAAGATTTTTTTTTTCCTAAAAAGGGTTGAGGTATGTGGAAGAGCAGGCTGCTTAACAACATTGCAGGCACCTGCGCTGCTTTCTTTCCTTCCCATTGGAGCCTTCTCCCCAGCATCAGCAGGCAGAGTTGCCAATAAAGCTGCAACCTTGACACAGGTGTGGGGGGAGATGGGAGGAGAAGTATGCATTTTGGAGCTAGGCAGCCACCAGCAGAGTACAGCTGCTGAACAAAAGGTGTTTTTCTTCAGAAGGAGTGGATGGTCCAAAAGGGAGAAAAAGGAGGATAGCAGCACAGCAAGACAAAGCACAACATAAAAAAGGTGCAAGAACTCTATGTGCTGGCCATTAACAGAAAAAGAAGAAGAAGAAATCTTAGAGAAGGGAACTTAAGTCAGAACAGGTTTAAGAAAGTTGATGCATAATAGTAATAGCATAACAGTAATAGCATAGAGCATAATATATAGGTAGTTGTAATAGATTAATAAGCAATAGAGCAACAGGTAACAGTATAAACATTTCATAGTATTAGTAATTGAAGAGTAATGGTATATCATAATAGTAATGATCATAGTAATAGAATAGAGATAGGAATAGAATAGAATAAGCACTCACATATCACTTTTATATGTTTGTTTTTACAAAACGGAACATCTCCCCAATCCTTATAGGGAGGTATAAAGAAATCACCTGTCTCTCTTGAGTCTGAGTCAATCCAATTGGGCATGGCTTAAAAAAAGAACCTGTGACACTAGCACACTCAGGATTGTGGAAAGGTGTGCTTTGTCACAGCCATTACCTGAAAATTGAGGGATGGAGGAATATTCCCAGTGAGTGAACTACTCTTCTAGCAGAAGTGCAGCCCTGTCCAAAATAGGATAGACTTCAATTCCAAAGTTCAGTTTTCTATATACCAATGCCCCATCTTGTCTGGGTTTAATTTTAATTTGTTCTCCTACATGTAATCTATTATAAAACTTAGGCAAGATTCAGTGCTAAGCACAATAAAGGTGGGTCTTATTAGCATACAGAAGGTATCCCTAGATATCTTTCAGACTACATTATTTGAAAATTCTAAGAAATCATTGCCCTTTTTCGTAATTATTAATGTCAGAGAAATTATGAAAGGTAAAATTATTATATGTTTGTGTACATGACCTTGTACCACTTTCTCTTCCATATTTTTTTCCCCACAATAAATACACCGTGAGGTAATTTAAGCTGAGATAATGGCCCAAAGTTATTCAACGAGCTTCCTCGCCTGAGCTGAACTTGAATTTTGATTCTGATCTTCCTCCCGCATCCTAGCAGCTGTATCAGTACCTGCTCAGCATCCGACCATTCCAGGTTCATACGCATAACTTCAGACCATACATTCAGTATTACTTTTCTCAGGAGTCGTTGGACTCTACTCTACATCTACCATCCCGGTACAAACCACAGTGTGATTCAAGCGGAAAGTAGAAATGCAAAACAAATAGACAATGGGCAAGGGTACCAAACTCCTATGTCATAGTTCCTCCATATGGATCTATTATTAAAAGGTTCATACATAGTTCTGAAGAAAAAGGATGGAATTCTTTCCTTTTTTTTTTCCTGTTGGAGTCTTCCTATGTTAGTTCCATGACTGAACAGGATACAGAGCAATTATGGCCTGTACCCTGTTCAGTCATGGAATTAATATAGGAAGACTCCAGCAGGAAGTAAATTGGAAGCTAAGGCTGATGTCTTAGCTGAATTACTGTACCTCATGGTCAAGGCCAGTATTATGTAATGACAAATTGTGCTTGCTTATGACTTACTGTTCATAAGTCCATAGTGTTCCTTCATCTTTCCTTAGTCCAAATCTTGATGGAGTGCTTAGGATGACTGTGACAACCATGGATCAAAGCCTTGCCCTTTTTCTACATGGGTCATGATGTAGAAATAGTGTATGTGATGCACATAAAAATAAGAGGTGGGGTTTTGCCCCACATTCAAAATCACCATCTTGATTTTTTTATCACCCCTCATTTCAATCTTGTGACATTTCATATCATGGTGATGAAACAACATACAAGTCAATAAATAAGGAATATCTTAAGACCTCGGTGGGGAGAGGGTACCATTGAATTCAAATTAATATTAAACTGTAATCCAGATACATTGTGTGATTAATATATCAAAATATTGCAGAAAGAGTTCATTCTTCCTAATTTTTGGTGTTCTTTGGTAAATCAAGGAAATTATAGCTCTCACAAACTGCAACAGTTGTCTTGGGATTATGATGGACAACTTGTAGTGTCACTTCAAGCTAAGAAGATAAAGGAGAGATTGGATAGATTAGTTTTCCTTCTCTTACACAAAGATGAGCTGCTGCTGCTGCTGCTGCTGGTGATGATGATGATGATGATGATGATGATGATGCTTCTCCATCCAAGCTTAAGCTCCTTTAGGCAAGATGATGGTGTCATAATGGATATTCTTTTGAGAAGAGTCAGCCACTGTTTGCAAAAAAGCCCCAATGATATCTTACTTTTTTTTCCCCGCTTACTAAACTCCTAAGAAAGTTTGAGTAAGAATCAGTCCTTTTCCGCTACCCACAAAGCTGTCTCACCACCTCACTCGCATGGATCATAACAAGGGCAATGTCGAAACCGGCGGGACGGAAAGAGGGGGATGAAGGAAAGGAAAGTGTCCAGTCAGCCTGACTGCTTAACGAGTAGCAGCCTTTTCCCGAAAAGGGTGCAGCTTGAAGCGATTCAGAAGGAAAGTTGGGAATTCTCCCGTTTCTTATTCAAATGACGTCTTCCAGGTTTTCCCTGCCCTCCTCTCTTCTTGCTTTCTTACCTCCGTGACCCA